ATTTTTAATGTGTTTAATGACACAATAGGTTTTTCTTGGAGGATTGTATTGCAATCCTTCTATTTTTTTGAGTATGCTGATATGTTAATAATTTTATACATCGATTTTATTAGCGAATATCGCATACAGAATGGGGTTCCTGACTTAGAACCCATCGCATATTCAATTATTTGTTTGTATATATTTGCAAATTCAAATATATTAAATCTGAGTAAATAAATTTGGTCTGTTGTGGGCTCGGCTTAGACTGAGAATTTCCCTAAAAGCCGTATCAACAGCAGCCATAAGCTTAATTCTCCAATTGCACATTTGTGTAAAGTGATGTTACATCACAGCTGACCAGCAAGTTCTCATTGTGTGGTCGCAGAAGTTCATTCTTCAATGTGAAGTCTGAGATATCCATAAAATGTGTGCTCAAGTTATGCATGCACAATAAATGATTAAAATTATAATCAATAAAAATGACTACATTTAACATGTTTAAGTAAGTGCCTTTTTGAAATGTAATAGGCCTTCTTGAGAAGTAAGGGTAATTTGCAGCATCAATTACTTTTTGTATATTTTATGGAGTAGATTTAATCTCTCCGTCCTCGTGTTATCTGCTAATTGCAGAAAGCTATAAGTTATATAGTCAAGGACACCCTTTGCATTCATTTCAGCCATGTGTTCATCAAGATCTCTGTATGCGATATTCGCTAATAAAATCGATGTATAAAATTATTAACATATCAGCATACTCAAAAAAATAGAAGGATTGCAATACAATCCTCCAAGAAAAACCTATTGTGTCATTAAACACATTAAAAATCTGAGTAATATGCTTCCCTCCTAACTAATTTAACAATCTGTATAACAGATGTGCAAATAGGCTCCTGATGATGGCGGATTTGCAGCTAATTAATATACTATCAAAATCTTAAACCTCGTATATATCACACCGCCGAAACACTAGATTAGTGTCGAGTCAAGTGATTTGAGGTACGTGGCTGATGAGAGTCACTTTCTTTGAAACTCATATATTTGAATTTGCAAATATATACAAACAAATAATTGAATTTGCGATGGGTTCTAAGTCAGGAACCCCATTCTGTATGCGATATTCGCTAATAAAATCGATGTATAAAATTATTAACATATCAGCATACTCAAAAAAATAGAAGGATTGCAATACAATCCTCCAAGAAAAACCTATTGTGTCATTAAACACATTAAAAATCTGAGTACTATGCTTCCCTCCTAACTAATTTAACAATCTGTATAACAGATGTGCAAATAGGCTCCTGATGATGGCGGATTTGCAGCTAATTAATATACTATCAAAATCTTAAACCTCGTATATATCACACCGCCGAAACACTAGATTAGTGTCGAGTCAAGTGATTTGAGGTACGTGGCTGATGAGAGTCACTTTCTTTGAAATTAAATATTTTTAGCAATATCTTAACATGCTTAACGGAAAATATTCTCCGAGTAAAAGTATATAAGGCTAAAGTTCCACGAAGTTTAATTTAATAAATGTGAAGATTTGTAGAATTTTCTGGTTAATATCCTTCCACCACAAAAAATAGTCCGTCATATATCTTGCTCCTTTACAGGTTTTTGAGCAGTTTTTTCGCTGAATGTTAAAAAAATTACATTGTTAAATTTTAATATGTCATAAAAATAGAATTTTTGTAAATAGTTTTGAAGTAAAAGGTTCTGCGTGAACTTTTCTAAATAGTTGACGAGTGACATACCTTAATAAAAATTCATAAACATTTTGATTCCTCGACACCAGAATATAGGCTCGGATCTGTGATTTTGGATATTGCAAAATCATAGGCTTTTTAAACCGCACCTTATACTGATGAAAATACAGCTAAAAGAATCCGTCTTTTCCTTAAACTTCAATATGCCAAGAATGAATTGACGCGGTTAATATAAGTAATATTCTTCATCTCAAAAGGGTCCAGCCTTGTATTCTACAGTATTTAAAGTTAAAGACTACACCTTGTATTTCCTACAAATATACATCGACCATTGCTTCCAAACTTAAAACTTCACATGGCAGGAAATCAAGTATCTGACACATAATTCTCCATCGTGTTCATGTTTTTCTTCGTCCTATAACTATAGTCCAGCTGGACACGTTATTACAGATGACGTAAATATATTTAATAATGAGTACCATAGATCACTTATTTAGTTAAAAAAATGCCCTAAATACAGGGAACCCCGATCCTTCAACTGGCGTCAGAATTTCATAAATATTATGGATTCTGTTGAAGATTACGCCAGACGATGGGCCAGATATGAAAAAGACGACGTTGACACTTTGTCAGAATGGATTAAATGTATCAGATCCATGTTAAAATCGCGTATTAAAAGATCGAGGGGGCAATATGAAACCCATCTATCCTTCTTTATTCAATAATACAGAAATGAAAAAGAATTAGATTACATGTATATGAATCAGTACACACTGTTCCCTGCTGACAAAGCAGGAAACAACATTGTCTTTGTTTGTAAGGCTCATTATTAAATAGCATTTTAGAACTTGGATTTAATTCTACAAGAGGTAATCCAACTTATACTCATAGTTTCCTTTCTGAGGAAGGAATTCTTCAAAATCATATGTCATTTTTGAATATTTTTAATATCCCGAAGAATCAAAATGAATTTGAATTACCATATATATATTTTGGATTCCGAAACTTCATAAAAATCCTTACGAACAAAGATACATTGCGGGTTCCAATAAATGTCCAACCAAGCATCTTTCTTTACTCCTCACTAAGATATTGACAGGAGTGAATGAGAAACTTCAAGAGTACTGTGCAACAATACATTCAGGAAGTGGTGTAAATCAGGTGTGGATACTTTAAAATTTCAAGGAACTAACGTACAATTTGAAATAACAAGATTTTACCAAAATCAACACCTTAAAACTTACAACTTTTTAACTTAATACACAACCATTCCCCAAGATAAATTCAAGTCCAGGCTTTTGAATTTCATTGACAGCTGCTTTTTCAATAAAAATTGAAATCGTAAATTTACTTACCTTGTCATTGGTCATTTGCACAATTATTTTGTTAAAAACATTCCGATTGTACAAACAAGTTCTCTGAAGTCGACATCAAAAAGATGCTCGAGTTTCTGATTGACAATATCTATATTGTTTTTGGAGACCAGGTTTTCCAACAAATCTACTGGAATTCCCATGGGTACCAATTGCACCCCGTTATTAGCAGACATTTTTTTGTATTCATATGAAGCAGACTTTGTGCAAAATCTAATGAGTGAAAAGAAGAAATCACCTAACCCTTTTTTAGGGGAGGAAACCCAAACACTCTTCTCCTTTTTTGAGGTCCCTGCTATATAATTGCCATTTCTATTTTTTAAAGGTCTGGACATAAATTTATTGTTGGAAAGATTGTATAAAAAATGAATACTGCTTTACTCTAGAGAAAAAAGTTTCCCTGCTAGGTGATTTAAATATTAGTTGTCCAACAATTAATGAATGACTTAAAACAAATCTATAAATTCATCTCTATTTTTCCCCATTTATCCAAAGATTCTATATCAATGACTAACGAATCAATAAATCAATGAATAAGTCTATTATACTTCAATGATTTTTTATTTCATAAATCATCTGTAAAGAACAGTAACAAGGAGAAAAAAAATATTTTAACAAAAATAAGTTATTAATCTCAAAAATAATCACTTAACATTTAACACAAGTCTAAGTGAATTTCAGCATCCTGATTATAATTATTTTGAACATCAAATGTACTGAATTGATTCAATGGTCTTAAATTCAAGACAAAATCTGACAATGTCTTTGATATTTTCAAACTATAATTTTTATTGACAGTTCAGGAAATTTCTAGAGGATCAACTGGAAAAGATTTTTTGCTTGAACAATTAACATTTGAAAAAAAAACATGTACTTCATTAAATTAACAGATATACTGAGAATGTATATAAAGCCAATCAATAACATACATTGTGTATGTTTCTATGATGTCAGACAATGAGGTATCTCAGATCATACTTTATATACATTGCAAACCCCAGAATAAATATAAAATTACATACTCTCATCTGAGATTCTATCCTATTTGGTGACCATCCTACTTTTTTTTCCAAACTAAATCTCTTGGTTATTAATTGAGCAAATCAATGTCTTAAAATAATTCAAGACAACATGTTTTCTAAATGAGTAAAAAAGAAATGGTGTTAAACATTCGTAATAGTTTCCATTTGGATAGTATATAACATTACAGTCACTTGTCTTGTAAGTTCAAGCACAAGGTTGATAACTTTTCAGCAAGGTTGAGAAATTTTGAAGTAATTCTATTACATAATATAATTATATACTTTATTACAATCTCAAAAGCAGTAAATACATGTTCCTATTTTCTTTTTTATTGTGAAAAAATTAACCACACTGTCATAAACTTTTCAACATTGAAATACACAATGACAAAATTATGTTATTTCAAGAAAACTTTAAAGAAAGCTTCTAAAAAATGAACTCATGATTTATATATAGAACAAGTATTTGCTCAACAAAGAAAACCAAAAAAATTAAATACATGTAAATAAATTTAAAAAAAAAAAAAACAAGATTCTTTTAGAAAAAGCTATTCTGCAAACATTCTGTTGCAAGCTATTTAATTAAAAAGAAAATAACATTCTAAGAATTTTACCTACACAGATAAATGTTAACTCATTTTAACCTTTATTATAAAACTTTAAAAATAAAAAGTTTAAAAAATATGCAAATATTTTTTTGGCATATTTGTGTATTGTTTATTGCACCATTGTGAAACTATGATATGTGCCAGTGAAGCCTCCTATGTGCATATGTAATTTGATTTTTCTACTGTCAGACACATGAACATAGAAATGTAAATCCTTATTGAAAATTCTATTTAAAAAAAATATTTGTATAACAATATATTTAATAGAAAAGAAAAAAATGGAGGACAATTTTACATTTAATAACATACATGTATATATTCTCCACGATAATAAATTGAGGACTAACATAAACACAGGTGCTTTTATGTATACATGTAGCAATAACAATGGACAGTTGAGTAGATCAAATATTCCTAGTGTAGAATCTGAACGCTCACTTATTTTTAGGATGATTAGAATCCTTCAGTGGAATGTGTTCGTTTTCCTCTGCAATAATTAATTCTTCTTTATCCCCCAGGCCATTCCCCTGACCACTAGTGTTATAGTAGGTGTAAAAACAGGACATGACTATAAACATAATGGTGGCCAGGGCCATCAGAGCAGCAAAGAACATAAACTCAGCTACCTGTAAAGAAACATCACAGCTGATATAGTAAATGAACATCACAGCTGATAGAGTGAAATACCTTAATTACACTGATCTGAGGATTTATATACATAAAAATCCTCTGATAAAAATCTAGTAGATCATCTAGAAAATATAGATCGTATACACTATCTATCTCAAGTCCAATACCTACTACTCTAACAATGTAACATGCGCAAGGAAAAATCAGATTGTCTCTAATTCATTGCTGGTAAAACACATCACCTGATGCATCATTTATGCAAGTTAAGGATAGGTACGGATTTTGATTAAAGTGGATTACGTTGGATCCAAAAACTTTAACATTTTGATTAATGCTGCTGTAACAGTTATAGTCCTTGACAAAGTACTGTAAAATCACATATTTTAGTGCCGTCAAATTTTTGTGGTTTGAGGAAAAACGTTTAGTTCGTGGGGATTAAATTTCGTGAATGAAAAAAATTTTGAGTAAAGTGTATGTAAAATTTTACATTATGTGGTGTCTATAAATTTGTGGGTCTCTTCATACCCCAAAAACACCAAAAATTAACCCCCAATGAAGAAAAATTGGGATTTCACAGTAAGTTAAACAAGGACAATATGCAGAGCAGAGCATCCCCTCAACAAAAGCATATCTGTAAATCAGAACAGCATTAGACATTGATCTCAATGTAAATTACGTGACTTCTGTTTGGAACAAGGACGAACCATTGCACACATAGAGGCATTACTATATCCCCTCCAAGGGATAAAAATACACTGTCATATTTCATTTTCATAACAATGTCTTATGAGAGTAGGTATAAATAGAGAATCTTACTTGTGATGTAAAGTATTGAACCTGAGCTACAATAACAACCACCAAACTTCCTACTGCTGTTGTCATCAACCAAGCTGCCTGAACCACCGACTTCATTGTGATGGGGGCCTGAAAAAACACAGATAATTGCTTTTTCTCTGCCTCTACGATATTACCTTTGGGTGAGGACATGCATGTTTAATAAATTTATTTATAAAAAAAAAATTTTTTAATACTGTAAACGTTTTGTTTTTAAATTATGAGGGGAAAAAAATAATTCCCCAAAAAGATTCTTAATTTTACCAGTATGCCGTGGGATACTAACCTGAGAGTATGCAAAAGCGAGGCCTGTGATGGAAAAGAGGACTTCTCCAACAGTCACCACAAAATATTGAGGTACCATCCACAGGATAGAGACACTGTTCACCTCAACACTAGTCAAGAGACGGGTAACAACCTACAAATAGATATAATAATGAAATACTGAGGTACCATCCATAAGATAGAGACACTGTTCACCTCAACACTGGTCAAAAGACGGGTCACAACCTACAAATAGATATAATAATAAAATACTGAGGTACCATCCATAGTATAGAGACACTGTTCACCTCAACACTGGTCAAAAGACGAGTCACAACCTACAAATAGATATAATAATAAAATACTGAGGTACCATCCATAGTATAGAGACACTGTTCACCTCAACACTGGTCAAAAGACGGGTCACAACCTACATACAGATATAATAATAAACTAGATGCTGTCATGAGACAGTAATACCCGCACTAAGGTGTTTGCCTCTAAATACACAATCCTACGGGCGGCTTTCCAAGGAAAAAGTCAAAATAATTCTATATAATTCAGGAAAGTAGCATCGTTTTTGAAAGTGGGGGGGGGGGGGGGCAACCTGAGAAAATTTTTTTACTTACCTAAAAAAAAATTAACAATCAAAAAAAAAAAAATGTGGCCACCTTTTTTCAAGGCAAAATAACTTTCACTTCCAATTTTTTTCCATATTTCCTTGCTATGTATATACTGTGGTAAAAAGTGTGGAGGGGGCAACCATCTTTTCAATGGACATTTTCTTATTATAGTACAGGTAATGTTGGGAAAAAAAGGGGGGCTGTAATTTACATGTATTCATCAAATTGAGTATGAAATTCTCCCTGTGTCCTATAACTCAGAACCTCTTATATTTATTTTACATGCTTAATTCATTATATACCAGTTTGAATTCTATTAATGATGTAAATTAGATTTTGATAAATGTTTTGCTCATAATAGGACCTTTTTAAATTTACTAATCCCCCCCTCCCCCCGGCCCCCTCGACACCAGAATCACACAGTACATACTTTTTGGAATAGGCTAGATGGAACAGTTTTGTTAAAACATTGTTTGTTGTGATTTAATTAAAAATTTGTTCTTGACATGTAAATTCTACATCACATCACGTTGCGTCACCCATTATCATATTTTTACCATTAAACTCCATTCGGTACACCTCGGCCGATTCCCACTTCATCTGATACGGTGACGGAATCGACGGCACGAAGGTTTTCCGAATGGAATAGCATTAGAACGTGCTGCAGTGTGGTGTGCATTGGATTAATTCATTTTGTGTTGTAATTGGATTTATATTTCATGAAGTTGACAAGATCGACCTATGGAGGTCGGTAAGTACAAGTTTAAGTACAGTGGGGGGTAAAATAAACCCAAATGATTAGGTTAAAGTTCAAAAAGGGTCAAAGATCATCGCATGCCACACTAGACGAATTTCATATTGTGAAGTTATCTCCCGTTATCGATGTGACATTCAGTTACTGCCAATACT